TCCTGCACTGCCTGCAGGTCTGTCACCATGGGGCCGTTCCCTGGCATGAGTCAAAGCCACTTGCCAGCTGTTCGGGCAGAGTTCACAGCTTCATTATTTCCCAGAGGCCACAAGGCCCTTGGATCCTGTTCAGGATTTCTCCTTGATGAAAATCAAAATCAATTCACCTTATTTTTTGAGTGCGCGTGTGCAATCAGTGTAATTGAAGGGGAGCAGCATTTCCAGGCTGCCATTGTCTCAGCCCTTGCCTACTCAGCTGATTGCATCTGACCTGTGCTTTGGAGTTCACGTCTCTGGGCCAAGAAAGCTGCAGTGCGTCACCATGTACTACAGCTGTCTTTCTGCACGGGCTTTTTAGACGAGGAGGGTTTGTTTGCATAGTATCTCTGGGCTCTGTTGCTTTTGGAAAGAGCTGGTGGTTGTGGGCAGGAACGCACACATCCTTTTGAGGGGAAAGCAGAGCCCCTGTGATGCTCTGCTGACTCACCTGCTTCCCTCTTTCCAAGACTTTCCCTCTTTCCAAGATTAAATGGCTGTGGTGGCCACAGGGAATAGTTGGTAACACTGTGCCACTTAGAAACCTTCAGCTTGTACTCTATGGTCCGAGTGGGAGGTTTCAAGAGCTCTAAGGAAACAGCCTCTCAAAGGCTCAGGGTGGACAGGGCCACCTCCCTTGTTTACCCCCTTTATGTTTACCTCCTTTGTTTGCAATTGTCATTGTTTTTTAGCACTGAGCCACACAAAGAAAATGAGTTGCAGGTAAAATCTGAGCTGGTTTCTGGTTTTGCTGGTTGTTGGCTACCAGCCCGTCCTCCAACAGGACTTTACCCTCACATTTGTGGGCTCACCACCTGCTCGGAGTCCGAGGACCTCATTCCTCCCCTGTGAGAGAAAGCAGGAGCAGAGCACGTTTTTTTTAAGCATCTGAGGCATTTGTATTGAAAACAGGCAATAAGGAATTGAGCTATTCTGCTGTAAAGCAAGGAATTGAGTTCTGGTGATGCAAGCAAACCCCTTGAGATTAGCCTGATTTTTCCAGTCTAAGAGAATGTCAAAGAAAGGCAAAATATGAGGTGGTGTTTGTTGTTTTTTTTTCAAGGAAACAGATTTCAGTGGTCTAACACAAATCTGTGGATAGAGCCTCTAGCCTGGGAAGTCCTTTAGCCACCAAGTGATGGAGAGTGGGAGGATGTACGCAGGAGGAGCATCACTTTGGGATTGCTTCATTACCCTCTCCGAGCTGTCTGAGATGAGTCGTTGCAACAGGCAGACCTTTGGTGTGACCTGGCACAGCTTTTCCCTAGTTCTGCCCTCCAGCACCCTGATTTCTGTGTTAGCTGTTCTGTGGAGGTTTCCTGTGGTTATGGGATGTATGAGCGTGGTGTACTTGACCCCCCCTCTGCCTCAGCCCACTGCCAGGCAGTGCCCTCACCCCGGGGAACTGCAATACCATGTTTGCTTCTTAATCCAGAGCAACGCTATTACAGGCGCAGCAGTGATGCTGAATTAAGATTTGTCCAGCTGAGAACAGTTTGGCTTTCAATCAATAGAAGCCTTTTTATTTTTCCTTAATTGGTGTGTGTTGAACAGGGAACGCTGTGGCTCATGATGGCAGGACGTGGCAGGAAGGTGGAGCTGGAGCAGCGGGAGCAGCCCAATTGCAGCCGAAGGGAACGATGTGGTGCTGTGGCAGGAACAGAAGTGGGGCTGGGATTTTACTGTAGGGTTAAGGTGAAATGATCAGGGCAGCTCTGCAGAGGCATCTCTTGCATCTTAACCCTCAGTGGCCTTGTGCCTGCACGCAGGATCATGCTGGGCCAGTGGGGGTATCGGGAGGAAAGTGGCCATGGCCAGACTGGCTTATGCTGCCTATGAAATCCCACCTCAGGCTTCTAATTTTCCACAAAAATGTCCGACTGTTCCCTTTGTAACTTTGTTTGTGGCCTGCATCTACACTTCTCACCTCCGGCTTCTTCTGGGAAATTGTTCTTCCTTAAAAATTTCAAGCAATTGTAAAAAGAAATTTAGAGACAAATGTGCGCACAGGTTGCTGTCCTTCTACCTCTCAAATTAATTCTCCATCTTGCCCTTTGCTTAATCTGTACTTCTGTGGTAAGACCATTCTCTAGAGGATGAACTGGTTTGAACCTGAACTTCTCTTTTATTTTGAATACATAATGAAGTCTTCAGTGGGCCAGGGAAGGCGAGAGATAATGGCTTTGTCCTAGGGGGATGAGTTCAAGCAGAGCGCTTGACTTGCAGTCCATATGGTTGCCTTCACTGCTGGCCACGTAGACACTCTGAAAAGAGACCACGTGCCTCTTTGAGCTCCCTCTTTTTTTTTTTAATTTTTATTTTATTTTTTTTTCCCCCTCCAGCTAAAACCGAAAAGTCTCAGGGGAAAATGCCACAGAGCCTCAACGTAATTTCTCAGTGAAACAGGGCACTGCTTCTGGACAGACTTACAGTTAAATCTGTGGTTTCTCTATTTGTCATGCAATTTGAGCACTGGTGAATAGTGAGGCTTGCACACTTGTGCAGTGGTAACTATATGCTTAGCTGTGTTTTGCAATAATAGGTGATAGTTTCTGGTGTTTTATGACTGCTGTATTCTTGTCTTTGAAGGAAGAGGAGCTAATTAGAGAACTCCTTTCCTTCCAGTTGAGAAGGCCCAGATTTCCGAAACACTGCACCCATCACAATTATGTCCTCTCTAAGCTCTTTCAGAAAACCTCTGCACTTAGTTAAGGCTCCACACAGCATCCTTCAGGCCATCCCACCACTGACTTCAGGGGTTGTGCTCTTCCAGATATCTTCTGAGTATCTGGTCTTGCAATTCCCCACCACTGAACCCCCTCCCACCTTGAATTTTCTGTAGAGGGACAGCTGCTGAGCAGCCCCTTTTCCATGGCTGGTAATGCTCTCTGTGTTGCTTTCCAGTTATTGCCCCCGAAGTCTGTGGGGAGTACATCCCACTGGAAGCAGAGCTTAGTTTGTTGTAGGTGGGGAATACAGTGAGAGTGTTTGACTTTATCTCTTCTTATCTCTGATGGCCACAAAATTCTCTGTGTACGCAGTCAAGGCATGTTGGCTGGGGCTGACTTCAGATCACGTCTTTTCTGGTTTTAGGCAAAATTGCTCCTTTCTTTCAGCAAGGAAGCAGCTTAATGACTCAACTCATCCCCATTTGCTTACTGGGGAGTCAAACATCTTGGTGGGCAATAGGGTATGTGCTGAGGCATCTAACAGGGTGACTTTTCAGCTGGTCTCTGTAACAGGCTAGCAGGATCTACTGTGCACTTAAGAGCTTTTTCATCCCAGCACAAAGCACAGCATCAGCCATTTCCTCAGGAATCCCATAAGAGATGCAGCTGCTTTCCCATTAGTTTCAGGTTCATGTTTCTATATGGTGGTTGCCCCCATGGCAGCTATGCCCTTCAGCACATCCGTCAGAGCCCAGCCATCCTGCCTGGGGCAACTAAGACTTCAACAGCCTCAGAAATGATGGGGGAATAAAAATACTCATTCCTTTATGCTATCGGTTTTCTGGGATGACTATTGGCAAGTCAGACACACGCAAAGACACAGACTAAGTTCAGAGCCTTGTCATCCAACTTACTCTTTCCTTGTTGTGGGAGGTTTTGAATTCACCCAGGTGAGAGAGGCAAATTGCTGTCAGGGAAATAGAGGCAGGGAGATGATAAAGCTGGGGCAGATTAAAGGGGAAGGGAGGAGGACTGAGCGCTGCTGCTTCCCTGTACGATGGCCATCCACTTCTTATGCCCACTCCCACGCCATGGGTAAATTTATCACAAATCCCTGAAGTCTTGAGCTAGGTGTGGATGGCTGCAGGAAAGCATGTGTCAAGGAAGATGCCTGCCCGGGCTGCTTTCCCCAATGTCAGCAGTGCTGTGGGAGCACGATCTGTCCGCCAGCCCACAGCGGCGATGTTGCATTGCATCTTCTCCTGACAGGGAAATGTCTTAGAGGGGTTTGATCACCGTGAAGCCGTTTCAGAAAACTGACAGCATTTGCTAATGCTGAGCTCACACAACCGTACGAGTCACGTTGTGCGCTGGTCTCATTTTCTGCAGCATGTCAAATCAATTGGGGAGAAGAAATGCCAAGGCCTGCTTAAGAAAGAGCTGCTGTATTATTTTTCTAACTCAGAAGTTTTTTTTCCTCCCTTTTATCTCTTCATTTTCTTAGGTGTATGATTACTTTCCTATTTAAGGCTGATCGCTCTTCCAAAACAGAGCCTTATCCAGTTGGGGTGTGCCAAGGGTTACTCACAGGGGATGCTTGGGCCATTCCCACCTGAGCACTCAGATATCCCAGACTGACAGCAGATAGCAGATGCAGGTGGGAGAATGGTTCACATTTCTGTGTGCAAGACCAAGCTCTGAATTGTTTCCCCCTTCACTGCCCAAGCAAGACTCTCAAGGAATGCAAGGAAAATCTCCCTGAATTAAAAATAAGTCTGCCAGGCCTATGGGATTTTGCAGCCAGAGATTAAGCTTTCTTTCTATGGCCTCCTCACCAGAAGTGATGAAAAGCAGCCCAGGCTGATCTGTATTAGTCCTGCACACATACACAAAATGCTTAGAGAGCAAAACATTTCCAGACCCAGCACTGAGCTGAAGTAAAGACCCTGCTCCACTTTGCTTGGAAACTTCTGTGTCTCTGCCCTACTGTCCCCTGGGAAACTGCATGATTTTGCAGACAGGCTCAGAGCCCTATCTGAAAGGTATTGGTAGTGTTAGAGAAACCCAAATGAAAACTCTATGAGCACCCAGCCACAAGTCTCCATCCCTAGGAACAGCTGAGCAGACTCAGTATCTCCTCTGGTTTTGTTGGTGGCAGGCAACAAAACATCAGGGCTCAAAAGAACAGTTTTCAGCTCTGGAAAACGTAGGCAAACTAGGGTCTTCAAGGGGCAGAAACACACTGCTGGCGAAGGCTGAGTATTCATACTGCTCTTTGCATTTTCTTTCCTCCAGGAACTTCAGAGAAATCCTTTTTTGATCATAGACGGAGTTAGCAGGTTCGATATCATGCAAGGAGAAATAGGTAAGGTCATATTCCTGTTTTGGAAAAGATTGGCACAAAGCCATAACCTGTGATTGCTTTCCTATGTTCTGAGTGCTCGGTGGGAAGACGTGGACCATGGTAGCTGCTGTAAACAATTAGTGCAGGTCAATCCAGACTCACACAAGTCCACACATAATTTATTGCAGATTTTAACGGGATTTCCAAATGCGGAAGCTTTCATCCCTGTTACTTGTATATGGCACCTGCCTAGACCTAACTGGTCTAGTGGGAGGTGTCCCTGCCCATGGCAGGGGGGTTGGAACTGGATGATCCTTAAGATCCCTTCCAACCCAAACCATTATGGGTTTGGGTGACATCAGAGTTCCCAAAAGACATTGCCAGTGAAAACTGGATAGTGGTTCAGCATTTTGGGGGGAGGAAAGGGAGACAGTGGAACACTGGTTTCTTTTAAAAAGCTGGGTCTTAGATGTTGAAGTCCGTTCTCCTAAAGAGTTAGTTATGGTCCGCAACAGTGAGTAACTGAGTGAATGCACTGGATTCTTCCCTCCCTTAAGGTGACTGCTGGATGCTGGCTGCCCTGGGCTCCCTGACACTGCAGAAGCAATTTTTGGAAAATGTTTTGCCAAAGGACCAAGGATTCCAAGACAATTATGCTGGGATTTTTCATTTCCGGGTATGTATTCTCTGATGTATTGGTACTGCTCAGCCTTGGCTGGTTGGATTATACAGGTGTCCAAACTGCAGTCCCAGATCTTGACATCCTTGAATGCTTTAGTTCTTCAGTGTTGACACAGTTCAAAATTTTGCAGAAAATCCTGAATTTTCTAATGATTCCTTGTACTCTAGGTGGTGCAATCACACTTCAGGGAATTTGAAGCCCTTTTCTGAAAGTTAGGACTCCAGAGGTACAGATACCAGCTGTTCAGATAGATTTGTTTACATATATATATTTCAGACTTTTTTTTTTTTCTGTTGTCTGCTTTGGTTTGGACAGTTTGTGATGACTGTCAGCACACCTGTGTTCTTTATCTATTTGGACTCATTTTCTGTTTCCCCACATACTTCACCTTGCCTTTTTAGCTCATGGAAATAGCTTGAAATTACAAATCCTTGGAGACAGATCAGAGGAATAGGCTTTTGATATTTTGAAAAGAGATTTGTTTCAGAGAGAGGAGCAAGGCTCTTTAGTAAATCTCACTTTCTACCAACTCTTGAAATTCTCTGAATCTCCCAGGAGGGTGACTGGGACAGTAACTGTCAGGTCTTGCTTGCTTGTATCTGAGTCGACCAAATATATTGTGGGTTTAGAAGCACTTGCCCATTAAGCTTCGGAAGCTAAACTGGATGTAGAAAGAATAAGGATATACTTGGCAATTCCTCATCTCTCCTTTTTTAGAAATCTGTTTTGTTATACACAGTTCAGTACCAAGCAAAGAGCTCTGGCTGTGAGACTTCTTTGACCCCCTGGAGCTCTCATGGAGCAGCACCAGGAGGATTATCTCATGGGCAGTCTAAATTTTGCTCTGTTCCTTTGCTCCTCAGAATACCAGATGTTTCTGCCTTGGCCCATTTTCAGCATGCAGAGGTGCAGTGTATGAGATAAACCAGCTGAAGGGACACCCGTCCACTTAAAACACATTAAAAGGATGCAAGCTAGATTGTCTTTCATGAGAGCTTTGGAAAGATTAGTTAGGAGCAACCCTTAAATCTTAGGCAGTATAAATACCTTACAGTATTTGAAAATGTTTTCCCTGTCATCTCATCTGCAAATCAATGCAACTGTTTCTGGCTTTCCTTGAGCAATAAACCCCTGAGAAAGCTACTCTGAATGGAAATGCTTCTCGGCAATGCCTTTCAATTATTCCATCAAAGATATTTTACTGCCATCCACAGGCTAAGCCACCAGTCCCCAGTTCAGTGAAGAATTGCAAACAAGGCATATCATATGCTAATATAAAAATTTTAGCTTATAACTTTTTTTCACCCTTTTGGATCTGGAGCATGTTGCCTCTCAGGAATACAAAGTGTTGCTCCAGTCTTCCTACACAACACCGGCTGTTTGGCTGCAAGAGTTACAGGAATTAAGCACTTCATCAGCTGTAGTTAAGATGGGTGACATTTTTGTCTGGGGAATAATTACAATGACACTTTTTTTCACCAGGAATTAAGCCAGTCCTGCGTTTTTATAGGAATCACTTTCTCTGCCACAGAAACTCTGATGCCTCTGAGGCAGTGTGCGCCACGTGTTTTCAGCTGGGGAAAAAAGCCAGAAATATTCTGCAGGGGTTACACAGTGGCACAGTGCATCAACTCAAAACAGGAGGGATCTGCCCTGAGTGTTAACATTCCCTTCAGGAAGAAACTGAAGAAATCTTCAAAGGCCATAAGTGGTCAAGACCTCAGTTTTAGGCTACGTCTAAAAGGTACTTTCTAACACCAAACAAGAGAGAGTAGTTGAAAGGTATGGGATTTTCACCTTGCTTACTTCTGGGAAAAGGGAGGCAAAATAGCAAGAGTATCTCCCTTCTGATCAGCAACACCCTAGTATGTTGTTGTCATCTTGCAACTGCTCATTTCTTTTGCCTGCTCTTCTAAGCCCAGGGAAACAAAGTCCTGATTTAAAGACTCACCACAAATATGGAGGTGAAGAACATTCCTCTTTGCAGCCTGACTAAATAGGGATTCTTTGTTTCATTCACTGTTATGTTCTTAGCTGCAGAACTTTAAATCCTGAGTGAATCAAGAAATTCCACACAGCCACACACTCCCTCCAAAAGGTGAAGATATCGCCCCTCTTTGAAGGCCTGTGAGGGAGAATGGCTTCTCCCATAGGACTCTTGCACTCTCCTGAGCATCCTAGGACTTTCCATGAGGCTTCTCATTGCTGTTGCGGCTTTTCCTGGACTTGCGAACTCTCATGAGATGACCACCTGAAAGTCTGCAGCAGTCAGGACAAAGCTCTTTATCCAGCTGAAGAAAAGTGCTGCATTCAGGCAGCCTCCAAGCTTCAGCTCCCTACCAAAGATGGCCAAGGAAGTTGGCTTTTGAAAAAACATCACTCAGTGGGTTTGGACTGCATTAATCCCCACAGCCAGTTCTATATTGTTCTCTTTGTTCACTTCTTGTGTTTGTGTGTGAAGCACCACAGGGAAGGGTCACACCTTTTCTCTATACAGACCTGCTGTCAAGTGTTGACTGGTGACAGGAGGGCTCATCAGATGACCGAAAATACAGCTCTTTTTTTGGACTGCACTTTTGCCTGCGTCTCTTTCGGGAAGAGGGCAGGCAGTGGCAGGCTCTTCCTCCAACGCCATCCTGCCAAAATCATGCAGAAACCACTCCTGGAGCTCAGTTTGGAGAGTCCAACCATGCCACCACCAATGTAGGAAGTGAGAGTCCAGGGTGAGGCAGAGCGTAAGGAGGATCAAACCTGCTTTTGGCTGAGCAGGCTGTAAGCTGCTTTGCTGCTGGGCAGATCTGGTCTTGTGCTTTTCTAAAAGAACAGCTCATTTTTTTGGGTTTTTCATTGACCAACGCTGTTGAAATAAAATCATGCTAGACTAAATCTATTGCTGGCATACTTCCACCGGAGTCCTTAGCATTACTGCAAATAAGAGCTTGGCCTCTTATGATTGCGAATCATGCTAAGCTACATTAATCTGCTAATGACTCTGGAAATGGCTCCTTTAGTTCATCCCCACAGATCTCTTTCCTTGCCTTCTCCCTTGAAAGGCTTCATCAGCTGGATCAGCTGGAGAAACACCTGCTCTGTCCACATGCTGGAGAGACCGCCCGCGTCCTCCTCATCTATCAAGGAGATGGATAACGCCTCAAAAACAGTCTTTAGTCACCACACTGTTCCTGTCCGTGACAACATGTCAGAGTTTTAATTGAAACACAGAGAAGAGAAAGTCTAGAGACTGAATCTTGACAGGGGCTCTCTGGCCAAGAGGTGGGCTGCCAGGAAAAATCCGAGTGCAGCCGAGGAGCAAGGCTCAGTGGACCATCTGTGTGATTGTTCTTTATCATCTTGAATCCTTGCTGTCAGCTGATAATATTAGCATATTTCCCAGTCTTTCCTCTCACTGATTGCAGGACTGTTTATATTCCCAAATGACTTCTCTCCTGCCACTGGGAAATCCAGCCACTTGGTAGCTTGTGTAACAATGTAGACCATCAGCCTGAAGCAGTTCAGGAGAGAACTTGCACATATCCGTGCTTTAGATTAATTCCTGTGCTATTTCAGGGGGCTGTTGCTTGGCATGAATATTAGCTCTTAAAAGAGGTTCATTCTTTTCTCTCAGTTCTTTTTTTTTTTTTTTTTTTTTTTTTCC